TTCGTGGGCTACAGCCCACTTCTTCGGCGAAGTGGGCTGTAGCCCACGAAAGCTTATGCTCTAATAAATTTGTTAGTCTCTAAGGTGCCACAAGTACTCCTGTTCTTTTTATGGTTTTAAAGTGACTCCATCAACATTACATCTACTCAATTTAAAGAAGAGTTAATGATAACTTTAGCCATTGTTGCTATGTATTTGTGTTACTCTACCCAGCAATCTCCAATCAAGCAGAGGGCCTCATTATGCTGGGTGCTTTACAAACATACAATAAAATATGGTCCTTCATTCTCTCTGCCAGTTTTGGTTGTTTTATAGTCCCATTTTCCTATTTAACTCTCCCCTGTTGCTATGTGGGAGACACTCACATACGAAAGGGGAAAACGACTGATACTAGAGGGTAAAAAGTGTCATTATACGCAAAATGCTGAAAACCAACTGAAAGCTTTCTCTATCTCTTTCACATCGTATTATCTTAGTAATTTCTTGTGACAATAGAAGGCTTTAAAAAATCAAACAGAAGTATTTTTTTCTTTAAAATGATCATGTCCCTTTTTAAAAGACCTAAGGCTTGCATCCTACTGACTAGAGACTTCAGGAGTTTGCTCTTTGGTGAAAAGTGGAGAGAGTTATAAATAAGTCTCTTTGGGGCCATCCTTTTGCTTTGTGTATGTGTACTTGGCCTAGGGGGGCCTTGTCCTCCATGATGAGGGCTCCTAGGTGCTACGATAATACAAATAATGAATAGTAATACATCTTTGATAGCTGTGACTAACTTTTTATCTTCGTTTCATTCCTTGCAATGTCTAACACATTATCAGCATTTCATAAACTTTACTAATGCACCTGCAACAGAATTGCATCAAATGTGCAATTGCTCAGACAGGCAAGGACCTGCCACTGGCTTGTTTTTCATGTCTCCTCCTCCCCCCACCATATTTTGATCACTTTCTTTTGATATGCTGCCTTTCTTTGCTTCCCAGTAATGGCGTCTTATACCTGCATTACTTGCCGTGTGGCTTTTAAGGATGCTGACGTCCAGCGTGCCCACTACAAAACCGACTGGCATAGATATAATCTAAAACGGAAAGTTGCTGACATGCCACCTGTCACTGCCGAGAATTTCCAAGAGAGAGTCCTAGCTCAGAGAGCGGTGACAGAGGAACAGAACAAAGTCACTGCCACCTACTGCACAGTTTGCAGCAAGAGGTTCTCCACTTTCAATGCCTATGAGAATCATTTGAAGTCCAAGAAGCACCTAGAACTTGAAAAAAAGGCTGTCCAGGCTGTCAGCAAGAAGGTAGAAACCTTAAATGAGAAGAACCTGGAAAAGGGGCTGGCCCAGGAGAGTCTAAACAAAGATGAAATGAATACAGCTATTCAGCAAGCCATCAGGGCCCAGCCATCCTTGTCTCCAAAGAAGATACCATTGCTCCCAGCTGATACAAGCAGCTCTCCACCTTCTGCTGGAGGTAATTTGTCACAGAGCAGAGAGCAATTGGAAAAACCTCCAAGGCTACAGTGGTTTGAACAGCAGGCAAGGAAGCTGGCAAAACAGGATGCAGAGGATGAGGAGGAAGATGAGGATATGGAAGAAGGTAAGAAAACCAGCAAGGTGGTAAAATGGTGGCTCTGGGTAAGCAGACTTAGTGGTTGGTTTTGGGTAGAAGCCCCGTCTTGTTGGGTTTGTTTTATTTTGGTGGTTTTTTGTTGTCCTGCCTGGAGAAATTTTATTAAAAAAAAAAAAGCTTAACAATTCCGTGGGGGGAGGCTTTTTTTCTAATGAAAGCTCACATAGAAGAGGGTCCCACCAAAAAATATTTGCCATAAAGAGGGAAGAAAGATTCAAGTCTAGCAAGGTTTAGTGGCCAGTGGTTTAGTGGCCATAACTTTTTTTTTCTTTTTCTTTTTAAAGATGAACTGAAAAGTTTTCTAGTTACTAAGACTAGAGGTCATGTGTTTTCTCTCATAACTACTGCTTCTGTTATGTCCATCAAAAGCAGTGAAGGGACCTGCACTTCTTAGCCTGATGCTCCACTCTGTTACAGCAGATTTATGCTGAAGTAATTTCATTGATGTCAGTGGGGATCAGTTCCCCATGTGTTAGATGTTAGACACGTCATCAACTGTTGTACAGTAAACCCGTTTCTATACTCTGTTTTGGAAGATATATATAAAGAAGAAACCAATATGAAACTATTTTGCATTAAGATATATTTAAGTTGTAACACTGTGTCTCAGGAGGTTTCTGAGCGTTCATTTTACCTTTAACTTTTTGATCAGGACTTTTTTTTTCTACGGGTGCTGTTTGTTCAGTATGTACCGTGAAAGGATTAGAGAGAGTAAGAAAGGAATAGTCTCTCTCTGATTATCCTGGGACCAACGCAGCTACAGCAATACTGCAAACAAAGGTCAAAGGATTGTCAGTTTGAGGCTTTTAAAGCTAGAAACCAATATCCGATAGTAACATTATCAGGTCACTGGTTTGAATCCCACCTAGGTTGGTAATTAATAGTTACCATCTGAGAATTCTTTAGCGGCCTATGTGAAAATGAGTTTACTGTCTTCTAGTTCCTAATGGACATCACAAACAGTCTTCTCAGTTGGCACTTTTTGGCATTTACAGAAGATTGAAGTAGGGTGACCAGACAGCAAGTGTGAAAAATCAGGACAGGGAGTGGCGGGTAATAGGAGCCTGTATAAGAAAAAGACCCAAAAATCGGGACTGTCCCTATAAAATCGGGACATCTGGTCACCCTAGATTGAAGTGTCCCGGGAAATTATCTTGATGCCCCTTCCCCCCGATACATACTCTCTTACCCTCCCCAGTGAAATTTGAAGTATATTGACAGAGCAATGTGTGGGATCTTGCATGAGTATCAGAGGAGAAAAAACCATGACTGGAAGCAGTACAAGTGACATGAAAGCAATTGCATAGCTCCAGTTACTTTAAGAACGCTGCTTATAGATAACTTAAAATGTTTCTTTTGTCGTAAAGGTGTATATATGAAAAGAGTATATTTGATTTTATAACTTTCTGCTCAGGCTGCTAAGTCACTACAGGAAATCAAAATCCTCATGTTTATGACAGAATTGGGTGGCTTTTTACCAGTTATGCTTTGTTTTAATGTTACATGGTACAATAGTAATGTTCCTCCTAAACAGTAATAGGATTTTCATACTAGAGAAGATTGTAACTAAAGTCTTAGATCTGGTGACCCTTTCATGAGCAGTTTTGACTTTTGCCTTAAGCTTCCATCATTTCTTTGTAAGTTAGTTTTATTGACTGTGGTATGAGCTCACCACTTGATTGCTTTAAATGTCTGTATAGTAATTAGAACACAGCATTTTATATCTGTTTATAATTATTATGGTGTTGTAAACATATTCTGTACTAGAGCATACAGCTTACGCTTATTTGCTTGAAAAAACAATGATGTAAATAAACCTCATGTTTTAACTTGTACTGAAAGGCTGGGAGGATGCAGATTCTGATGAAGTTGGAGAGTCTGAAGATGAGCAGATGGAAGGTGCAGTGGGTGAAGATGAGAAACAGATTGCCGCTGGTGCAGTACCACTCACAGATTGCTTGTTTTGTCCTCACCATTCGAGCTCTCTCATGAAAAATGTGGCCCACATGACAAAAGCCCACAGTTTCTTTATTCCAGATATAGAATACCTTGTGGATCTCAGGGGACTGATTGAGTACTTGGGTAAGTGTGATTCTTCTTCACCCCCCTGCCCCCAACAAAGTTAAATACCCTGTTTTGTTGCAATAAAAGTCTCTAAGATTTGAGCTATGACTTCAGTGTCATGTGGTATTCATGACTTTCATTCAGTCAAATGTATGACTTACTTCCAGTAGATCTAGGAATAACCATATTCTATCAGGCCTCAGGTCTGTTTAGTTCAATGTACTGTCTCTGACAGTGACCAGTACCAGATGCTTCAGGGGAAAGTATAAGAACCCTGCACTGGACAGCTTTTGGATAGTCTGCCCCGATATGAGGTCTTAACCTGATCTCTAATAGTATTGGTTTAAACAGCATGAGGTTTATGCAAAAAACCTCAAGTTCTAAAATATTTACATGGGGTGTGCCTATTACATGGACTCGTAGCTCTCCTAGTGAATGATGATGCAAATATTTGCCAAACTACTATTACAGTTCTAAGAAAGCAGCTCCACCACAAATGGAATGTTTGCTATATTCAAACTTGATTCATATTAAATTTATCTATCCTCACTAAAGCTCTTCTCACAGGAACTGACTCCTTGGAATGAGCAAAAAAATGCACAAAATAAAACCTTTTTTTATAGCATCTCACAGAGTTTTTGCCTCATGTGTGTGATGCCCTCTGTTCTGTCATTTGAATTATTCTTTAAACACAACTTCTTCTATGAGGAGGCAGAGTGGTTAAAGTCCAGGGGGACCAGGGCCCTAATTCAGTTTCTGGCAGTGACTCTCTACTCTGGAGAAAGTCACTTACCTTGGCTGTGACTCAGGTCTCCCATCTGCAAGTGGAGATAACCACTTCAGGGATGCCAAAATTGATCATTGAATTGAATGTAAACTCAAAATTATACTTTTTTTTTTTCCTCCTTCCCCCTGCCCAGGAGAAAAAGTTGGTGTTGGGAAAATCTGCCTGTGGTGCAATGAGAAGGGGAAATCCTTCTACTCAACAGAAGCAGTGCAGGGTCATATGAATGATAAAAGCCACTGCAAGCTCTTCACAGATGGGGATGCTGCCTTGGAATTTGCAGACTTCTATGATTTTAGGTAGGGAAATTTTTTTTCTTCCTTGCCACAAAATTGAAAGCCGAGAGAGGTGTTGAAACTTGAAACCCACTTTTCCATTGTTGACCTTCTAGAAACTAGATCTATTTTTTAATGTTTACACTTAAGGTCCTAGCAGTTCTTGAAAAATCAATTCATCAGTCAGAAGCTGTCCTGGGAACAAAGCTACTGTGCACTTCAGAAAAAAATAACCCCTTAAGCATTCACTTTAATACTAATAATATATTAAACAACTCTTCCAAGTATGCAAGTGCATAATGGTATGTGCTGTTGTTGGGGGTGTGGTTTTATTTATTTAGTTAATTTATTTATTTAAAATGAAATGTTAGACCTATTAGGATGCTGTTGTCCATCCATACCGGTGTGGGCAATAATTTTTGCAGGGGGGCCATGCCACCAATTTTGGTAAGTCATCACAGGCTGCACATTTCTACTATATTAATGGAGGGAGTGTGGAGTCTAGGAGGGAGTTTGGGTGCAGGAGGGAGCTCTGGGCGGGTGCAGGTGAGGGTCTGGGCTCTGGGAAGGAGTTTGGTGCTGGGGTAGGGGATTGGGATGCAGGACAGGGTGCGGGGTCTGGGAAGGAGTTTGGGTGTGAAATTTAGCAACTGCTGCTGTTGTTCCACAGGAGCAGTTACCCTGATCACGGGGAAGGGGAGGATGTGGTGATGTCTGGAGAGCTCCCAGCAGGGAAGAATTTAGAATATGATGACGAAAGTATGGAATTGATCCTCCCTTCAGGTACGTATAATAAATACTGTATCAAAAGTACCTATCTTCTTGGCTTTGCTGTAGTTTAAATTATTGCCAACAAAGACAGAGATTGTCATGTGAAATTCCCATTTGTGTCATGAAGCAGACGGTTTGCCATCTGCTTTGATCTCAAATTCTGTTGTTCTAGTTTTCAAATTGAAGACCTGTTTCCATTTAAAAATATTCTTATTCAGTTAGCTCAGATTGAAATTTATACGATTTCTTAGTCTTGTCATCCTCCTTTTTGTGTGTGTGTGTGTGTCATCACTTCCTCTTATTTACCCTTGCCTTACTTCATGCATGCAAGAATGTAATATGTACTTCATTGCAATACATCTTATGGAGAGTAAGTTCTTCCAGTGTAGTTCTGTGCAGTGTAACCTGGTCATAGGTAACTAATTTTGACAACCTCTTACTCGGATATTAATTTCCTTAAGCAAACACATATTGTTCTTTGTGTATTAATTTCTACACTAAGTCTGATGCTCTGGTGTATAGTTCCACACGCTGAGATCCCTTGCATATGCTTAATATCAACACATCCTCATGATCCTGTAAAGTGCCGTCAAATGCACCGTGAAAATGGGAAAACAGATCTTTCCTCCAATTTTAGTTACAATAGTCTTGTGTGTATTACTTGAAAAGGTAGTAGGTTTTAAAGAAAATGCAGATAGTGAATAAATTGATGTCTCTTTAAAGGTGATCTGCGGTGGAGGAACCCTTGCTTTTGTACTGTTTTTTGGTTCTTTATGATTTATTACAACTTATGGTGGATAAAGATGGCATGGAAAGCAGCTGTGGTGCAGTAAGGGGGGCTTTGTTTTTTAAAACTTCAAAAATATCAGGAATATTGCATTTTGTGTTCTATTTTTGCTGAAGGACTCCTTGAAGGACCAGTGAACCAAAGTAGGAGCTTTCTCAGCCTTCCTATGGAAGGGTTGGATGTTAAATCTTTAACAAAAAGAGATCTGTCCTATTAAGCAACTGAGCTGAAGGGCCCCATCTTAAAAATAACACATACTATTGTCACCAGGAGCAACTAAGCCTAAACTGGCTAGAACTGAAAGATTAGAGGAGAAGCTTTCTCTTCTGGTGGTTTTTTTTTTTTTTTTTAACACCGCAGTCTGGGGGAGACTTTCAGTGGGAGATGAGTGCCAAACTCCCTTTTATTCCTCTGAAAATCTTCCTCCTTCCAGTTTCATAGTTTCTCTCGCATAGTCAGTTTCACTTTTTATATGCTGCAGGTCTATAAAGACTTTTGTGACAATCCCATTCTTTCAGTGTAATGTCAAACATATACCAGACCTGACACTTCTTGATCTGCCCTTTTTTTTTTTTTTTTTTTTTTTTTTTTATTTTGGAAAAAAAAAAAAAAAAAAAAAAAAAAAAAAAATTTTTTGTTTTTTTTTTTTCTCCCCCTTT